TAGTGCTTCAGTCACCTTCCTGACTATCCGCGATGCAGTGGATACGTGGACGTGCACGTAGTCGCCAGCCGTGATGAGAAAGTTCCCGGTAACGAAAAACTGAAGCGCAACAATCACCTGCAGCTACGTAGAAACGACTTGACTGCGGCGCGTCTGTGGTTCCAGGTCTGGCCGAAGAAGCTCGACCAGATACATGATGCCGTCGTACCCGAAGCGGAATCGCTGCTGCAGCTCGAACTCGTCGAACACGTCGAGAGGATTAAGGCGCTCTCGGAATACGCGTTCCCTGCCTAGCATCAGAATGCCATAGTGCCGATACATCCGTTCTCGCCGAGCAAGGCGTCTCGACCTAGATGACATGTCTCTATGTAGGCACACACAGACAGAGAGCGTTGATAAGTCCGTAAATCAGTCGTAGTCAGTCCGTCGGTCGGTCGGTGAGTATGTCGGTGGATCGGTTTAGCAATCGGTCAAGAAACGGTTGAAAGAAATGCAGGTGCGGCAGAACCGAAAATGGCGCAAAACACGCAACAGGTAGGGTAGCCAGACGTTTTGGGACGCAAAAGTACAGTCTCTGCGTTTAGAACTATTAAAATAGATGCTGAGCAAGAAACAAAGACTCAGACATAGCAAGGACGGTTTGTAAAAATTATCACAAACAAAAAACACACAAAAAAAACGCGCAAAATAAAAAAAAAAAAAAAATTCGCCGGTTTTGAATCCGGAACTTTTTCAACGCGACGACTAGTCCCGGCGTTCTAACCGCTCGACTACGCGGCCGATGCGGCGGACCTTGCTGGCACATATATATAAATACACAACCACCGCTTTTGTTTAGCGTGATTTTTCCTTTATTTTGGTTTATATTTACGTTCCCTGACCGTAACTTTACCTGCCGCTCCTAACGTATGATGGGGCGGTCAATTGGACCTCAGTTGAAAGCCTGTGCAGTCAGTTTCTGCGAGCGAAATTATACTTTTTTTACTCGAAGCGACACGGATTTCTCCGCCATTAGGAAGGGACGCTAGGTACTTTCTTGTCCCCATGGAGCTGGTCACGTGACAGAAATATCCCTCCTGGCCGCGGCCGCGTCCGCAGCCGCAAGATGAGCAAACCGGCCCTGGGGCCAAGAACAAGAAGCTGCGTTCCGAGAGCTTCAACGACGCCTTCAGTGTCCACCCGTGCTCGCGCACTTCGACGAAACCGCCGACACTGAAATACACACAGATGCAAGCAATGTCGGCTTGGGCGCCGTGCTGGTCCAGAAACAGGGCAGCCGTGAAGGAGTTATCGCGTACGCAAGCCGTTCCTTAACAAAGGCAGAAGGAAACTACTCGACAACGGAAAAGGAATGCCTCGCCATTAAGTGGGCAACTTCGAAGTTTCGCCCCTACATCTACGGCAGACCCTTTAGGGTAGTAACCGACCATCACGCTCTTTGCTGGCTCGCTGACTTGAAAGACCCTGCCGGCCGTCTCGCGAGGTGGAGCCTCCGGCTTCAAGAATTTGGTATTACTGTGGCGTACAAATCCGGACGAAAGCACTCCGACGCCGACTGTCTTTCGCGCGCGCCGGTGGGCTCTGCAGCAACAGAGATAGATGATGACGAGAATTTTCTCGGCACACTCAGCGCAGCTGACTTCGCCGTACAGCAACGTGCTGACCCGGAACTGCGCGACCTTATCGACTATCTGCAAGGCCGAGGCACCGAAGTTCGTAGACCATTCACACGTGGTCTATCGACGTTTTGTCTGCATAATGGCGTCCTAGTTAAAAAGTGAAAGCCGTTTACAACTCAACTCCCTGTAACACCGAATTAGAGCGCAGCTCTTGAGGAGGAGGAGGGAAGGGTACTGGGCGGGGGTGAAGTGACCTGGGGGGGGTCGCGTGACCTTGGGGGTCACGTGACGATGCCCATGATGTCATCAGTGACGTCGCCGATGACGTCATCAGTGACGATGACGATGCGGACTCTGATGACGTCATCAACGATGATGACGATGACGATGCGGATGTCGGTGACGTCATCAGTGACGTCACTGATGACGTCATCTGTGATGATGACAATGATGCGGATGCCCCCCCGAAGTCACGTGACACCCCCAGGTCACGTGACCACCCTCAGGGTCACGTGACCCCCGCCGAGGTCACGTGACCTCCCCGATGACGTCAACGTCACTGATGACGTCACCGGCATCCGCATCGTCATCATCACTGATGACGTCATCAGTGACGTCACTGATGACGTCACCGGCATCCGCATCGTCATCGTCATCATCACTGATGACGTCATCAGTGACGTCACTGATGACCTCACCGGCATCCGCATCGTCATCGTCATCATCATTTATGACATCATCAGTGACGTCACTGATGACGTCATCAGTGATGATGACGATGACGATGCGGATGCAGATGACGTCATCAGTGACGATGACGTCATTGGGGAGGTCACGTGACCTCGGCGGGGGTCACGTGACCTGGGGGTGTCACGTGACTTCGGGGGGGGGTCACGTGACCTCGGGGTCACGTGACTTCAGGGGGTCACGTGACTTTGGGTGTCACGTGACCTTGGGGGTCACGTGACCTTGGGGTGACCTTGGGGGTCACGTGACCTTGAGATGACCTTGGGGGGCACGTGACCTTGGGATGACCTTGGTTACGCCGACGCCGACGGCGACGGCGACGCCGACGCCGCTCAAGTTGGGAACGGGCCCCTAAGAGCTGCGCTCTAAAAGAACTTCAGTCCTACACGTACAGAGTACCTCCTGGTCGTCCCTTCAGACCTACGCAATGAAATTCTTGAGGCATGTCACGACGACCCAACATCGGGACACCTGGGACAAGCGCGTACTCATGCGAGGATCCGAGCACGCTACTACTGGCCGCGGCTTGCGTCCGATGCTGCCAATTATGTCCACACCTGCCGAGAGTGCCAACGCCGGAAAACGCGGCCAGCGAAGCCCGCGGGCCTTCTCAAGCCGATTGAGCCACCCTCCAAACCGTTTGAGCAAGTTGGAATGGACTTGCTTGGCCCCTTCCCTACGTCGGAATCCGGCAACAAGTGGATAGTTGTCGCGACGGACTATCTCACCCGATTCGCAGAAACGAAACCCCTGCCCACTGGCACTGCCATGGAGGTAGCCCGATTTTTCGTTCACGAGATTCTTCTCTGACATGGCGCACCTGCGGTACTCATCACTGACAGAGGAACTGCTTTTACAGCTGAGCTGATGCAACAAATTCTGCACTACAGCAACACGAGCCACCGCAGAACGACAGCGTACCACCCTCAGACAAATGGCCTGACGGAGCGCCTCAACAAAACCCTCGCGGACATGCTGTAAATGTATGTGGATGTGCAACACAAGACGTGGGACAACATCCTACCATACGTCACTTTCGCGTACAATACGGCGGTCCAAGAGACTACGCAGACGACTCCGTTCCAGCTGGTTTACGGCCGACAGCCCACCACCATGCTCGACACAATGTTACCTCACGTCGAAGACGAGGACTTGAACAGTGATGTCGACTCGTTCTTACAACGGGCGGAAGAGGCGCGCCAGCTTGCCCGTCTCGGCATCAAGGACCAACAGCGACTCGACGCCAGGCGCTACAACCTACGACGCCGCGACACGGAATACAAGCCCGGAGACCAGGTCTGGGTCTGGACGCCTGTTCGTCGACGGGGACTCAGCGAGAAGCTACTGCGGCGTTACTTCGGACCCTACAAGGTCGTCCGCCGCATTGGCGAACTAGATTACGAGGTCGTCCCCGATGGAATTCAGAGTTCACAACGACGCCGCTCCCGACCCGACGTGGTTTATGTTGTTCGCCTGAAACCTTACTACGCAAGATAGAGGACTAATTGTTTCCTTCGTAGATTTGTATTCCTTTTTTTTAATAATGGTGTAGCATCGGGCCGATGCTACTTTCAGGGGGGGATTATGCCACGCATCGTGCTGTGTCAAGCCGCGAGCTGCGTAATGTTATCTATCCTCCTTTACGCGCGCGCCATGAGTGCGCGCTTTTCGTTCATACGCTTATCGAGACGCTGCTCTCGAAACAGCTCGTTGTTATCCGAAGATTCTGGAAAGTTCGATGAGCGGGTAAGAAGATAGCAGCCGGCCGACCGCTTCTATTATTATTCTCTTCGCCGGCTACCGCCCACACTCGCCTCCCGCCGATCTTTCTTTTCGGAGGGCAAAGTTCGCTTAATAAACCCTTCGTTTATGTTCCTTCAAGTTGTCCGAGTGACTTCGCCACGTGACAATATACTAATCATTTTACGTGCAGCAAGATTACAACTAACGAGCACCATATAAACCTCTCAAATGCATAGACGTACACTATGGGGCGGGGGGGGGGGGGGGGCAACGGGGCTTTTGCCCCCCCTGGGAAATCTGGGGGGGGAGGGCAGAGCCCCCCCCCCCCCCCCCGGGCCCGGGCCATGATCCCTACCGAGATGCTGTTTACGTGCCATGTAACGAGCTTCTAGTAGCGGCATGTAAACAAAATAACGCGTACGTTGCCTTTATTGACAAAATACATGGGAAATGGAATTCCAGCGTGTTTTCGTTAGCTTCAATCTCCAACTCTGGCAAAAAAAAAAAAAAACGCGCAGCACCCCCCCCCCCCCCCCCCCCCCCCAATCCCCGGGAAAATGGAAAGTCTACGCCGCTGCTCAGGTGCACAGAAACATCATATGCAAACGGAATGAATCATAAAAGAATGGACAGTTGGGCTAGTTGGTAAGAGTTCATGATAAAAAAAAAACATCGCGAAACACAGGGACACAGAGAAGAGAAATAAATACAGGACAAGGAGCTGACTATCAACTTTCTTATTTTGAAAACGGTTGGGCATGGGGTTTTCTTTTTATTTTCACCGTGGTGTCGCTTCTCTTTCACTGTGGGGTCACTTCTTTTATGTTTTCTTCAAAAAAGAAATTATCCGATGTCTAAAAAACCAGTCTCACTGTCCCTGAGGTTCACTGATGGTTGGCTCACGCACATTGTTTTCTTCTTTTCTATATGGTAGGCCTCAATAATCTTCCTAGATAACTGATATTTTTGTTTGTTCAGTATATTTGTGTCACTGAACCGTGGTTCGCATCCGCAGTCCCGGCAATGTATTGCTAAATGGGAGTATGCTCCACCCTTCAACGAACTATGACGTTCGCAAAGCCTGATTTTTAAGCATCTCCCCGTTTAACTGATGTATGAGTGTCCGCCGGAGAATGGATTTTCATAGACTGTCCAAGGAACGAACATCATGCATTGCTTAATGTGGCATTCGTCGTTGTCTGTCTGATTGTCTATATTTGCGCGTTTTTTCATCACGATTACAATCCTGCTCACTGTGTTGCGGGCTGAGAATACGACATTGCCCCCTTATCTTATGAGAGAGGCGGTGAATATATGGTATGACTGCTCCGTTCTTTTTGTATTTTTTTAACTTTTTCTTTTTTAGGACTCAACTTTATATTACGAATTAGTTTGTCACAGGCCGATGAGATAACTCTGTTTGGAAAGTTTGAGTGCCTGAGCCTGGCGATTTCGGCGGAGAAGCTTGCTTTCATTTTGTGGATATGAGATTTTGTCAGCGCTGACTGCCAGCATGAAAAAGCGATACCGTGCTTAACAAGTTTTTAATGAGTCGACCTGTAGTCAAGCAAGGTTTTGGTGGTTCTAGGGTAGTGTATCAAGCATGCATGTTCTTCTTTTAATTCCACTAGGAGTTCCAAAAAATTAATTTAGTTTTCCTTGGGGGTCTCAAAGGTAAAACGAAGTCCTAAGTCTTTGTCTGTGAACGACCTTAGCACGTCGTCTATTGTTCTACTATGTTCTGCCTTCTCTATGAACACCAAGTATACATCTACATACCAGAATATTTGTGGTGTATTACCTACCAATCTATGTTTAAGTGCGCTGTCATCTTTTCTCAGAAGAATATTGCTAAGCCCTTGAACCTATGCAAACGCCTGACTTCTGTGCATAAATATTATCCCGCCAGCCTTTAAACGTGGATTTTAGATAAAAGGACAAAAGTTCAAGGCAATCTTCGGCTTGAATTTCGCTATTTGTCCTAATCCTTGCTTCATCATTGTGGTCTAAAAATACATTTCTTTACTCTCTTCATGTGTTCATCATGGGGCATAAACTAATAGAACTTTTCCACGTCTATGCTGAAAGCGCGGTATCCTCCTGGGTTATCATTTTTAGGTATTCAATTACTAACGTTGAGTTAGGAATGCAAAATCGGTCATCTATTTGTAGCGAATCAAGGCCGGCGCTCTCGTGGATATGTCGAAACCGCCTGAAGCCAAGTATCTTGATCTGATACTATTGTACGAAAAGGTATTTGTAGTTTGTGTGTTTTCGTTGTGGAAAATACCTCTAGCGTAAGGTTCGTTCCGTTTTTGGTCTCTGCCGCTTACTCATCGGCTTGTGACAAACTAATTCGTAGCATAAAGGTGGATCCTAACAAAGGAAAAGCTCAAAAAAGACAGCAAGCACCTACCAGTCATATAATATATTCACCGACTTTCTCATGGGATAATGGGAGTCGCCTCGAGATACGCGGTCAATGTTGTATTCTCAGCCCGCAACAAACTAAGCCAAATTGTAACCGTGGTAAAAAAAAAAAGACGCGCAAATATAAACAATTAAGCAGACAACGTCGAATGCCACATTAAGCAATGCATGATGTTCGTTCATTGGACAGTCTATGAAATCCCATTCTCCGGCGGACACTCATACATCGTTCAAACGGGGAGATGCTTAAAGGGGCACTGACACCCCAAAGGTCGTATTTATTTTTATTGTCTAAAACGATGCAAGTTGCAGCCATAGACACGCAAAAAAAAAACCGCATCGCGAAAAAAAATTTTCCCGCGCGCCCGCGCGCCTTTTTATTTTTGGCGTTTGATTTTCCCGCCTCTCGCCTCCTCGCTTCTTTTGATCGGTGACGTCAAAAATCAGGAAATTTAGAAGCTTTGTAGGCGGCATCTTTATAACATTTAATGACGGCAATCCTAAAACATGTTTTTTAACGCAATTGCGAACGCACTACGGCCCTTCTTTTTGAAATACCAAAAATCGGGAGTTCGTTGTGGTGCCGTCTCCTGGATTTGTATCCTCCAACGGAAAACAGGCGACACCGCTCAAAACCGGTCCGCCGCAACGCCGGCGCTAGCCGGCGCTCGCTCCTTTCCTCCTCGCTTTGGGTCGCCATGGCAACAGCAGGGAGTGGTGACAGGAAAGGGGACTCTCAGGTCTCCGCAATTTTTGACGTCAAGGCACCGGCGCCGATCGCGCGGGAACTTCGAATTCGGCATTTGGAAATTGTTTTTTTACTTCACGAATACTGAATTCCCAAATTTCAAATTTTAAGGGTAATGTCCCGGCATCGTTTTCGACCGTTTCGGATAATAATAAAAAATATGATTTTGATGTGTCAGTGCCCCTTTAAACATCAGACTTCGCGAACATCACAGTTCCTTAAAGTTGAAGCATACTCCCATTTAGCAATACATTGCCGGGGCATGCGGATGTGAACCACGACATGCGGATCTGAACTCATGACAAAATGCTGTATAAGGGGAAGAGGGGAGAAGAGGTCCCAGCAAAATTAAAGGTCTCGGGGGCGGGGGGGGGGGGGGGGGGGGGCGGGCCCCATGGGCCTCCCCCTGGCTACGTGCCTACCTTAACTATTATTTGTAAACAAAAAGAACTTTCTAAGCGCACATGTTCTACGTTTTTTAATATCTTTCTTTTTTTATTATTACGCTCGTTAGCTGCATTGGCGCTGCAAACGAGAAACGTAAGCGCTCTGCCCTGCATTGCGAAACCCCTATTCTATAAGCCGCCGACAACAATTACCTTGTTGCGTTTGAGTCCCCCAATTTCTCAGGAAAACCTAAACGTTGGGCTCCTTATTCTAAAACTCTCTATTGACATACATTAGCCTTGGCCCAACGCCGTTCATCCATAAGCTAAATCGTTTTACCGCATTCATAACATATTTTTTTTTATTTCTAAGCCATTGACCACGAAAATAAAACATAAAAAAGTCTCTACGTTTTAGTGTGATGCGCTAATTGAACCCACAATTTGTGTATACAATAACCGTGTATTACCAAACAGCTGTTCACAAGCCATTTGAACAAACCACCCAGAGCAAGAACAGTTGAGTAATTTCGAAAAATACAAGGAAGGGGGCCGAACACCAAGATGCACGGTACTTTGGCCCCCAACTTGAAGGCCGCAGTTTGTGTTTGCCTATTGAGCCTATTGATATCGCCGTTGACATTAGTACCATTGGCTGCCTCACATCAAAACTGATTGACTGACATGAATTTTATCGCAATCGGACCGACCATTCGTCCAAACACGGCATTTGAAGACCGAACCACGCCGCCTTTAGAAGAAGGGACTAATGTCGCCACGCGGCGTGGCTGCGGCCGCAGCTGCCAAGCCGGTGCCTTAGGCGATATTGTTAAAAACTAAAATATACCGGGCGGCTCGGTGTTCGCGCGCTGTATGCTCCATCCATCAATCGATGATGGCGTTTTGCGTACGTCAGCAGAACCTCTTGAGGTTTGCATATGAACCCGGGTTGTTAATCACTTCTAATGTGAACTAGCAGATGATTCCGATTTCAGCACGCGTTCCATCTCACTTCGACGCGGCACTCGGTTTGTAACAGACCATCCGATTTTCGTTTTTTGGTCTGTAAGCTGGCGACGCACGGTGTTTTCTTGTTTTATTTGAGTTTACGAATGGCGCTTCGTAGCAGACAAATCTCGTCATTCGAGCGTTAACAGCCGAACCGTCTGCGTATTCTATCTTTGCGCGCTCCGCGAGAGGAAAAGTATATCTCGCGCTCGAGGTTACCAAAATCGCACCCCTGGAGACCTTCCATGCTTTGATGTCTTGTCAAGGTGATGGTGAGAGTCGTGTTTGCACCTGCTTCTGGCCCTGGCCATGTTGCCCGCTGTCCCGTCCTCCATATGCTGAGCGTATTGCGATGTGTTCTTGCTAAGAAAATTAAATTCGGTGCTGCAAAAACCACCCTGCAGAACGTTCGCGCTCAGTGCAAGCAGTCTTGTACACGTTACTAAAAAAAAGTAGTCGATTACAATTACTATTACTCTTGGCTAAAAAGTATTCGATTAGATTACTTGATTACTCGACGGCAAAAGTAATTGGACATTACTTAAAGAAGTAATCGTTACTTTTCCAATTACTTTATTGTGTGAAGGCACATCTTTAGCGCTCGTAACAATGAACTACTTCCAACCTATGTTGCACATTTGCACAAGTACTCAAGAAGAAAAACTGGCTCCCTCTTCGTGGTCGTTGCACCTTCACAATGCGGACACAAGCATAGAATTCGTTTGAAGACGTTTAATGATGTGGGCGTTCGGCAGTGTGTGTGTGTGTGGGGAGGGGGGGGGGGGGGGCGGAAGGGGTTCTAGATCTTGTTAAGCTTGAGCAAGGGTTGTCGCTCAAAGTTTGCGTCGTTCATTTTATTATTCACATATGGATGAGCTCGCATGTTATACAAAGGAGCAGCAGCTCCAGGATTTGAAACGGATCATGTGTAGTATTCATTAGCGGAAGAGATCGCCCCGACCACTTCTCAACTCGAACTTGTCACAAAGACCACGTAGGGGAAATGGGGAAATATTTCAACTGCCTTTGTTATGTTTTGTATCCGCTTTAGGCATTCTTCGGTTCTGGTTCTCCTACGGGCTGCGAGTAGGCACCCTAAGCAGGATTTTTAAAATTTTTTTTATGTCTGTGTGTGTGTGCGTGAGGGGGCTAGTTTGAACGAAGGACTTACAAAGCTACAATCTGCTTCCTCAAACTTCGCCCTGAATGACCTTTGTCACACAATGTGGCTTCCAAGGGCTCCCCACTCCCAGTCCAAGCTCGAAAAAAAAAAAAACAAAAAAAAACGGACATTCTACAGAAACTGTACATACTAAGAGATTGACATCGTTTCCTACAGCTCCACAAAGATCTTTATTTTTTCCGTTCGAAAAAAAACAAAAGCAAATTTCATTCTTGTCAGTTCATAAAAAAAAGCGTGTGTCGGGGGAGGGGGGGGGGGGGGGGGTCCCGTGGACAAATTGTAACGGTTACAAGTAATTTTATTACTTCAAAAAGTAATCAGATTACTCTTGTGATTACTGCCTAATAAAAGTAATCAACTGATTACAAAATTACTCCAAAAAGTAATCAATTACAAGTAATTTGATTACTTGTAATGCGTACGGTACAAGTCTGAGTGCAAGCCATATCTTTGGCAGACAGAAATTATTTTTGTTCGGTACAGCGTCGTCGTGAATGGCGCGAGCGTCTGGAACCACGAAAACGCGCTTTCTGGCAAGGGTGTTTTTGGAAAACAAAGTAATTCCTGGGGCCAATCTTTCTAAACTCACCCGAAGATGCGGGCTGGTTGAACCTTTAAGTGGTGTTCATCCGGAGGAGAAATCTTCGTAGGGATATGCTTGGCGTCGACAGCGGGTCCAATTTCCTCCTAAGCTTCGTCATTCACTCCTACAAAGTACCAGGTGGAGGGATATGTTAGCGTTTGCAATCCAAGTGGGCGATTTCCCCGCTAGACTCCACCACAGACGAATTTAGCAAGGTTTACATTTGAAACCAAAAAGTTTAACTAGAAAATATGATTTAAAATAGACTGATTCGCCGCCAGACCAGGATGGTTTTGTGCCTCCCAAGCGTCCCCCCCCCCCTTCCTCCGTCGTGTTGCTGATGTCGCAGCGCCGCATCCCAAAAGTCGGACGTTTTCGACGCGTGATGCGCGTTCCGTGGAGACATTTTCTACATTTCCTCCTCGTGTGAATACCACTTTACTGCGCAAAATATGTATTGGAAGCTAAACTCCTCTCCCCTCCCCCCTCCCCCCCTCCCCCCCCCCCGAACCCTATTTTTTTTTATTTTTTTTGGATAACCTCTTTCCTTCGTTTAGGGTTGTTAATTCGGCAATTATAATTAACAGTGATCCTCCAGTGCTCTTTTTTTCACCCAAAAAGTGAAAGCCGCTTACAACTCCCTGTAACGCCGAATTAGAGCGCAGCTCTTGAGGAGGAGGAGGGAAGGGCACTGGGGGGGGGGTTCAACTAACCAGGGGGGTCACGTGACCTTGGGGGTCACGTGACCCCCAAATGCCGATGATGTCATCACTGACTTCACTGATGACGTCATCAGTGACGATGACGATGCGGGTACCGATGAC